TATGTAGATATAGACATAGATATAGATATATTTATATATATATATTGTATTCAAAAACGTTGAATTGAACGGTACCTTAGTTTTGGGATTGTCTTTGCGCATCTTCTTACGCTGCGTGTACGTCTGCATACGCGCGTGTTCCTTAGTCGTGATCACATGTCCCAATGCATTGACCACATATTCACCACTGCCATCCGCCGCGAACCCCTTATGTGTCTCTCCTTCACCTATGAATCCTTCTTGTAAGGTGTAGTTATTTTCTCGCAGTACAGCATGTCCATCTATGCACATTACACGTGACACACGCTTACGCTTGCTTCCCTGCACAGGTGGTGCAAATAGAGCTACTGATGCTTCCACTGGGTTTGTCTCTAATTCATCGGAATCAGGTTCATTTTCGTTATCAATATTTTTATCGTGCTCTATTAGGTCTTCCATATTGACCTCATCAGATGCACACGACGCAACATCGCTATCGCTGTCATATGGCATATCGGTAGTGTTTGGGTTGTCAGGTGAGTACATTGTTTACTATTATATCAAGCTATATCCCACCAAATTCAGTGAAGTATGTTCCACGTGTGCGTACAGCTAGTACATATGTCCACTTGGCTATACTGTCAGTGTTGTGTGATTTGGGCAGCGAGTTGTATGGAACATATGCACACATTCACACCAACTTTATATATTATTTACTTAATCAATAAAGGACACAAATTATATCTCCTCTCGCTATCGAGAGTTCGAGACGACCACATAAATTATCCTGATACAATCTCCGCCTCGCAGTGCAGTACCTATCATGCGTGTCCATGAAATTGGTTCTACTACGCTCCAGTCCCCAGGCCCAGGGCTTGAAGTACTTCGCCTACCATTACCAGTCTACAACTCTGTGACTGTCAACGACCGATTTTTGCAAAATAATTATTCTCGCTAGATTTATGTGATGTTGCTATATACAAAGAATTGGGCGCCATGACTGGCCCATGAGTACGGAAATAAACTTTCTCCACCAATGGGATTACAGTGTTGAAATACGCGCGGAATGGCATGTCCCGCTTTTTAAAATCAGATTTAATTTACGGGACACAAAAACCCGCCAAATACCAATTTAGGATTTTAGGTGTGGCACCAAGAGACCTGAGAACACTTATGTTTCAGAAAGATAAAACACTGAACGGTACTCAACTGCAGGCGAAGATGGACCAAGGCACTTACAATCGTACATATTTATGCATTTTCACATAGCCTTCTGAAAATTAAACTAAGGCTATGATTTTCATAGCTCTACCGGCCTAAATACCTGGATGAGTTGGGCGTTGGGCTTGGGCGTTGGGCATGGGCGCTACTCTAGAGTAGGGGCCTAGGCTGGGCCCTTGGCGGATGGTGCCGTGGCTTTATATTGTCATGAAGCTCTTTCGCGGCCATCCCATGACTGCGGGCTGGGGCATCCTTCCCCTGCTGACGATGTGATATTATTTTTGGGTTTATGTCTATTTCAATTTTAAGCCCGCTACTGGCCGTAGTAGGGGTCCAACAAATTGTTTTTTTGGCAAACAAAAATGTGATGAAAAGATAAGAATCCATTTGTAAATATATACATAGGACTATATTGTAGTATACAAAATGTTGCAAACTTTGTATAATGGATATGATCGACTTTATACCAACACAAAGCAGAGCAAAGATGTGCTATGTATCTTGGAACAATACAGCAGCGAGTTTATCTGCACTAAAACGAGATGTCAGTCATAATATATGTATATATATATATAGCACACACACACACACA